CCCAACTGCACCCAAAAGTCCAAGTAAGGTCATAGTATCAGAATCCCCACACTGGAAAAGAACGTCACCGAGGAACAACTAGGGGGCTTTCCAGGTAATATCCCGATCCTGAAGATGTGTAAAAATTTTCATCCACTTTTCCTTTGAAGTACCTTCATGTTATTTCATTGTGATGAACTCTCCCAAAGGAGAATATGTGGTGCTAAATCGGCAGTAGGCAACCACGTTAGTCTTCTAGAAGTGGCTGTGAATCCAGACTTGAAGGAGCTGAACACACCCAATGAACCTGCCTCCACCGGCTCTTCTGCAATGATTAAGAGACCAAAATGTCTCGGCTAAGATGGTTGATGTTGGGTTGACTCGTTTCGGAAGTTGTTCAAACAGCTCCACCACAGCTACATCAATGCACCTCAAAGCTTTCGGAAAGATAATCAAAACGTACATACCCAGTGCAAACAAGTCTATAGTCTTCCACTCATCAGGGTGGTTTTTCATTAATTGCTTTATGTGGAACCATTCAATTCCTTCCCCATTGCCTCTGCACTGTCCGATCAATTACCCATTTCTCTTATACTCTTGCAACCCTGGTCAGTGTATTCTTAAAAGGCTGACTTTTAATGTGTTTGATGTAGTCTCGCTCCAGTTTGATGTTTTCACAGTGTAATAGTGTAGTGTACTCCTCGATAGTGGGCACCATGTCCTCCCGATTAAAAGTGAAGCAACTATATCTCGAGTTCTAGAATTGAATCAGGGCTCTGATTAAAGGCTCATCAGTCTTAACCTGGAGTAAAAGTGCAATGTCACCGTACCGTTAACTGAACTTCTGTTTTCGATTATTCTTCCAACTGTCCCAGATGTCTCGAAGCTCTTGCATATTGTTCTGTTTTAGGCTGATAGAGGCGTAACTAACCAGCTCTGACACATAGCTTCCTTGAAGACTGTCTCTCTTTTCCTTCTGAGTCTTCTCGGATCATAGTCGTACCTCGGGGTTTTTAATCACTTGCATTGCAACACCTTTGTCCATTTGTTCAGATTATTTTGTGTATAACAAATACCTTTTTAGGGATTAATGGCATCTTGTTATGATGCAAATGCTAAGAAAACAAACACAGAGGTAAAAAACCAGTAAAATAAAAAAAAGTGACAAAAGGAAGAAAAAAACAAAAAGAAACGTGGTTAGGGTAAAAATATCCTAGGTTTTGGCATGTGGTTTTGGGGTAGGCTCTATTTCTCCATAGTCTCCCGGTTTATGTTCCAAAAAACGGTACCCGAGTTCTCCTTGTCGGTGCCCTCTTGGGCTTGCCAGACCCTTAGTCCTAAACTCATCACAGGCTTGTGTGGACCAAGTTAAACTCGAGAGGACACATTCCCTTATGCCCATACGGAGAATAAATTCACACGAAGACATAAGGTATATGAATCCCGAAGGCTACTTGCTAGGCCCATACGGTGAATAAATTCACACAAAGGTATCGCTTTCACCCCTACTTAAAACGGGTTTAGAGCTCGGGTTTAGAGCCTTAAGTGAAAAAATCTTTGAAGGCTGAAATCATGAGAAAATGATTAGTACAACTATTTACTCGAAAATATAATCAAAAGTAAGTAAAAAAGGATCAAAATATTACCTTAAAATTTAAACTTACCATTTTCGTTAAAAAGACAACTGAAAATTACCTTAGCCTGACTCACTTACCTGTGTCCCCAGCGAAGTCGCCAAGCTGTCGGAACTGTCTTTCAGTTGGATACGGAATTGGGCTTTGTCTTAGGAAAATGGATTAGGAGTCGCCACCGATCATTTTTTTAAAAAATAAATAGGTTGACTGGATACCTTATTTCTTACCTGATATATATCGTGCCAGAGATGTGTCGGATTCGGGAGTCGGTTACACTTAAGGAAAGGTTAGCACCCTTGAACTGCCCTTTCGGTACTACGTAATTTTCAGTCGTCTTAGTTAAGAAAATTGAAAGGTAAAATTGAAAGGTAAAATTGTGATCCAAATCACTTACTTCCAATTGATTTGGAAAGTGTACCCTTTAAAAGTCGAGAACGTGTTAGAGAGAAAAAAAAAGGTAAAGAGGACCAATAAGATAAAGAGAATAAAATAAAAATAAAATAAAATAAAGAGAAGAATAATGAATAAATGAAATAGATAAGATGAAGAAATAATAATAGTAAATACATAATATATATAGTAACGTAAAAAAAGAAAAACCCCACATCAAAGTATTAATAAAATAAAATAAAATAAAATATATATAGATATAATAATAATATTTAAATAACTCTCCCCTCACCGAAAGTGAGGGGAAGAAAATTTGCTTAGATGAGGACAAAGGGGCCCGGGTAATGATATTTCAAAGGTTAGGTTAGATATAATATATATATATATATATATATATATATATATATATATATATATATATATATATATATATAAATGATAATAAAGACAAGTGTAAAAAAGAAATAAAAAATATAATGTAATTGTAATAAAAATCGAAAAAAATATAAATATAAATATAAATATATATATAATATTATATATATACATATATATAATTATAAGATATTAATAGTAATAAAAACCAAATAATAAAAAAAAGAATAAATAAGAAAAATATATATACAATTATAAGCTATAGTACTTTGAATATATATATATATATATATATATATATATATATATATATATAATAATGGGTATATAAATGAAATATTACAAAAATATACTTATATGTAAAAAAATAGAAAAAATAATAGGGGTTAAATTGAATTAAAAAGCAAGTTGGGTGGCCAAATTAAAAAGCAAGTTGGGTGGCCAAATTAAAACAAAATCGGGGTTTTAAAATCGAGTTTGGGATCAAAATAACATAACTTTAAAATTGGAGGGACCAAAAAGGGTGGGTTACCCTATATTTTCTGAAAACACACGGGTCAAGGATCTCCTGGGTCGGGTCATCGGGTCTAATGGGCTTAATATATAAGCTAAATTTTTTTTAAATTTTATTTTCTCTCTTCTCCACATCGAACCCCTCTCTTTTTCTCTCCATTTTCTCTGCCCAGTTCATGTGTTCTTGATGAACACATGAATAACACCACCAATTCCAGATTCTGGCCACCGTTGCCACCTCGTCGGCCGCCGTTGAACGGCGACGTCCGCCGTTCATCGGCGACAAAAATAAAAAAGTTTTTATTTTTTCAAAAGATTTTCACACCCTTATTCTAAAAATGCGATTTGTTTTTGAAAAATAGCCTCTAAGGAGCGTAGATCTGAAGTTAAAGCTTCGAGAACTCCCTTTTGGTCATTGGCTCAAAATGTTTTTCTTTGGGGTTTTCAAGCATAAAATTCGAGTAACAACACATGCAAGTGAAGAAAAGAACACAAAAGGTAAAAGCTTTCACCTTTTTATTGCTCCGAACCGTTTACAATATCTTCGAAATAACTCTTTTTTTGCTTGTGTTTTTCTGGTATTTCTTGTGTGTATTGTGTGTAACTTGTTTGATTTACGAGCTTATTTATATACAAAAAAATGCTATTTTTAGACTAATTTGAGTCCTAATCAAAATCTGACTCTGTTGGTTATTAGTGTCCTATACATGCACGTCGGTTGGAGACCGAGAATGGTGGGATTGTTGCGTGGTTGTGGATGAGTCCTGGGTACCCACGACGTTGCTGTGTTGCGTGAGATGCATGGGTGGCGAGGAGTCCATGGTGGATGGAGTGCGGCGCTGATAGAGCTTGGAACTAGGGTTTCGAAAACCCTAGTTTTCTGTGGTTTGGGTCACGGGCTTGGACCAGCTGGGCTGCTGACTTGCATTTGGGCCACCCGTCGGGCCTGGAGAAAAAAATGTAATGAAAAATAAATCAATATTTATATATATAATGTGTGCTTAATATAATATATAAATATTGTAACATATATGGGGCGAAATTGTGTGTCTACAATAATATTATGCGATATTAATTGATCTTAAAAATTAATTAATTAAAATGATGAATTGATGGAATTTTAATTTATACAAATTTAACTAATTTTCAACGGTTGAGAGTTTTTGGAACCCAGTTTAATTAAAATTATAAAAACTTATATTTAAGTCAATCAACTGATCGAATTTGGTTATTTAAATTATCATGTCATTAATACATTAGTAGGGAAATCACGCGTATTTTTATAATTAATAATTGGGTAAACTACTTCAAATATCATTCACTTTTTTAGGGAGTTAATAATTTTTTTATAATCCCTAAATTCAATTTAAAAAATAAAATCTTATGATTTTTATGATTTTTTGAGATTACGATTTAAAGTTTATGATTTTTTTGGTAATTCCTAAATTCATTCTAAAAATGAATCTTATGATTTTTTGGGATTATAATTTAGAGTTTTTTTTTTTTTTGAGATTTTCTGGAATTTAAGGTGTTTTCTGAGAATTTTAATAATTTCATGAGTTTTTTAGGAAATAACTTTTGGAATCCTGATTAATGTTATGTATATTATATTTGTAAAATTAAATTAAATATTTAAGTTGGTGTAGTGGTTTAGTCTTGTTTTTTATTCAAGAGCTCATGAGTTTAAATCTCCTTAAAAGCTTAATTTTACTAAATTTTCTCAAACAAAACTACGTCGTTTTGGGTTTTTTAGCACTAAATGCAATCATGCCAAAACGTCGTTTTGGTGAGGGAGTCACGTCAACAATTTTACGGCACGGAGATACCATGTCATCTTGCTATCATTCCATTAACGGGGCGAAGTGGTATAATTACAGTTAAACTTAAAAATTAGTGTTAAAATTGACAAATTTAAAATATTGATGGCATAAACGAGTCTAAATTTAAAGGTGAGTTGTATTTGAAGTAGTTTACCCTTTAATTAATAGTGTTTGGAGTAATCGTTGAAGTTGATTGGGTGAAGATAGCGACAATGCACCCGTTACGAATCATGGTGAATGCAAGCTTGTCAGATCCCATAACTATTGGATTATTAATTTAAAATGTGAGCGTACCTTATAGATTTATGTAGAGGACTGCACCCGTTGAACTCTAAGCGTTAATCATCAACCTGTTTGATAAAAGTCCTGAAAGAGAATTAGCATGGAAGTGGCTAGACCCAGTGTTGGTAATGGTATCAGTGGGAGATGGAAGACTGCTTGGGCTTCAAAAAACAGCGTGAAAACTTTTACAATAGCAGCCTTCTTTGCCGTAGCATTCTCTCTTTTATTGCTCAGGGGAAGGCACAGGGTTCTTGGTCAATCCGGGACTTGTTATTTTCCTGCCGTATTCAACTTTGGTGATTCCAATTCTGACACGGGTGGAAAGTCCGCTGCGTTCCACCGGATTCCTTTGCCTAATGGAAATACTTTCTTCCAAAAGCCATCTGGGAGATATTGCGATGGCAAACTGATTATCGATTTCATTGGTATGTGAGTCTTTGCTTCCTTCATTTAATTCCTTCGATATTCATGAATATGTCTGATCTTTTAGATGCATCTATCCCCAAAGGTTAGAACTTGGGACTTTCAATCCATCAAAGTAAAGCTTAAACTTGGGATTTTTTTTCAATTATGGTTTTGTTTTAGGATTTAAGGTGAAATTGCCTCCGTACTAAGTCAACTTTGAATGTTGCTGCTTTTGATGTTACCAAGGTTTGACATTAGACCTCTAGAACTAAGAGCCCAGACATTTTACCAGCAGACCACATTTCCATAAATTTGAAACATTTCATGTTAATCCTGTTCTGTAAGTGATCTGCTGACTGCTGAGTAGTTTACAGTCTCTACTTTAAAAGATCAATTTTGATTACTCAGTTTCTAAAGACAATCTTGTGTTTAGGATGAACTTTGAACTAATCGCTTAAAGGGTCCGTTTGTTCAAGTTTTCAGACTGAATGTTGATCTGCTTGGGGGTAAAATCATAAGAATGCAGTTCGTTTCTCTCTTATACTAAACTCAGTTTGTATACCTTGCAGCTGAGACTTTGGGACTGCCATATTTGAGTGCGTATCTGAACTCAGTTGGTACAAACTTCCGGCATGGAGCTAATTTTGCTACAGGAGGGTCTACGATTCAGCCAGCAGATGCAAGAATGTTTAAGATGGGGTATAGCCCCATTTCTCTTGACATACAACTCGCACAATTTGAACAGTTCAAAGAGCGAGTAAATGAGCTTTATAAAGAAGGTTAGAAACAATTCCAGAATTAGGGGCAAAAGAACTGTGAATTCTAAACTATAATAATACTCGAACTTTTCGGATGGATTTCGCTGATTTTTTTTTCTTTTTCTTTCCAGGTGTGGATCCAAACATTAAGAGCAAGCTACCAAGACCAGAGGACTTCTCACAAGCACTTTACATATTTGATATTGGGCAAAATGATCTTGATGGTGCATTTAAGTCAATGACAGAGAAACAGGTTATAGAATCAATTCCTGGAATTATCAACGAATTTGCTCAGACTGTTAAGGTAACTGGATGTTATGCTTACACAATATATTTGTCTTTCTTACTGTGGTAGGAGATTGATGTGATTTTGTAAAATCCGTTTATCTATGATTCTCCTATATGATATACACCATACATGAAGCTTACTTTAAAGCATATCTCGACACTTTGATCCTAGGAACAAATATCTTTTTCAGTTGCTATTGCCCTAGGAAGAGCTATTTAGGGCTTTGTTTATTTTTTATTGTTGCAATGCCATGGTAGACAAGAAAAAGGAGATGATGTTTGAGAATTGATATCTTCAAGATCTTATTAGCCAAAACCAAGGAACATGTTTTCCTCCCCTGTAAGAACAATCATAATTTACTAGGAAACTTTATAAGTTCGAAAATCTTAAAAGATTGAAAAGAATTGTCATATTCTGAAAGGATGCATCTCTGTTCTTGAAGTCTTTCAATTTGAACCTTCATAAAGGTAAAGACAGAACCAGTTTTGATGATTATTTTTATTTGCACTTGGAAATACTCTTTGCTGAAACAAACTATCCTCCTAATACTAATAGGAACAATATAATAAGCACGAACCTTGGAGACGACATTATTGGAAGGGACAGACACAAACCTTGAAAATGGACAAAAAATAAAAGAACAAAATACAAATTCCCTCCAAGTCTCCTCTATCCTAATCAACGAATGCAAATAATCGAAATCTTAAAATTTATGTTTTAACTTCCATTTTCTTCCTTTTCAGAGACTACATCAACATGGAGCAAGGATATTTTGGATACACAACACAGGTCCAATAGGATGTTTGCCCTTCCACGTTCTAGATTATACTCCAGTAACTAAAAATGTGGATCGAAATGGTTGCATAAGATCTCATAATGAGATTGCTCAAGAATTTAACAGGCAGCTGAAAGAGAGTGTTATCCAACTTAGGATGCAATTCCCAGATGCAGGACTGACTTATGTTGATATTTACTCAGCTAAATATTCTTTAATTTCTGATGGAAAGCACCATGGTAAGATCAGTTGCCAAATTATTTTGTTCCAAAACCAAATTATAAAAGATAATAGCTTCACATGCCACTGTGTGTGTTCTATATTAAACACCGACCCTTTATCGCAGGATTTGCAAATCCGCTTGGATATTGCTGCGGCCATTATCGGGATAACATGTGCTGGAGGAAGACAACAGAGAATGGAACTGAAACTTTGTCGACTTCATGCAGCAATCCTTCAGCTTATATAAGTTGGGATGGCATCCATTATTCCCATGCTGCAAATATGTGGATAGCTAACAAGGTTGTTGAAGGATGGCTTTCAGACCCTCCAACTCCCATCACTAAAGCATGCCACATGTCTCTTAATTCCAAGCGCCAATAGTGTGCTGACTGATGCCAAGAGGACACATTTGACACGAAGGAGTGGACCTTTTGTACCGTTTGCACTGCAAACTAGATCGTTTTGATGCTCTTATACCTTTTGTAACTTTTAGACTTTCTCCTGTAGGCTAAAGCAGAAGCGACTACATTTTTTTTTTCTGATATGAATCTCTATTAAGTTTTATCAATATGGCTTCTTTTTTATTTTTATTATTTTTACTGTTACTAGTATTTCCTAAACATGCATGATTTGAATTTTAACACACGTAAAATATTTTGTATAAATAATTGTGTTAATTTTTCTTCATGTTATAGTACATGTGTTAACCCTAAACTATCCTCAGTAAGTTCTATATAAATGCCTTAAACGTTTAGGATAAATGCCTTCATTCTTCTTTATGTTATAAATGCCCCCATTAAAGTTACTGGTAATTGCTGATTCATTGATAGTCGTCAAAAGAAGGCAAATCAATGAACTAATCATAATCTTAAATGATTAATTCATAAGAAAATCATTTTTAAAATAATTTAAATCTCATATATTTGTTATATAAACTAAGATGCTATTTGTTCAAAACTGAGAATTCTAAAAGGATTATGAAATCACCAAAAATATTTGCAGAGTATTTAATATAAGAAAAAAATCTCAACTCATTTTTGTATTTGTTTGGATTACGCAAAACAGAATCTCAACTGCTATATTATTCATTAATGGCCAGTTCTGTCTTCTGTTTCAAACTTCTATAAGTAGGCACCTCTGTTCATCGTTGAGTTGCACACTTAACTCTCCTTTTCTAATCGTTTTACAGCCACATCTACACATTTACCTCCTTCATCTATGTCAAGCTTTGTTGAAGAGCTCATTGGAGTGTCATGAGGCTTGCCATTTTCCAGTCCAAATTTCTTGAGCATATCTTTGACGTACTTAGCTTGATTGATGAAGATGTCATCTTTTCTTTGCTTGATTTGGAGTCCCAAGAAAAATGAGAGCTCCCTCATCATGCTCATTTCGAATTCGCTTTGCATTAGCTTAGAAAATTCTTGGCAAAAAAACATCATTAGTAGAACCAAATATTATATCATCAACATAAATTTGAACTACTAATAAATCTTTACATTTATGCTTTAAAAACAATGTAGTGTCAACCTTTCCTTTTGAAAAACCTTTTTCAATTTAAAAGTTTGACAATATTTCATACCAAGCTCTAGGAGCTTGTTTTAAACCATAAAATGCTTTTGTCAATTTAAGAACATGATCCGGAAATTTTGAATCTTCAAAACCTGGAGGTTGTTCCACATACACTTCTTCTTTTATAAAACCATTTAAAAATGCACTTTTAACATCCATTTGATATAATTTAAATTCATGAAAACATGCAAATGCTAATAACATTCTAATTGCTTCCATCCTAGCTACGAGAGCGTATGTTTCATCATAGTATGCCCTCTTCTTGAGTATACCCTTGAGCAACAAGTCTAGCCTTGTTTCTCACTATATTACCACTCATCAAGCTTATTCCTAAATACCCATCTAGTACCTACAATAGATTTATTACTAGGCCTTTCAACTAATGTCTATACTTTACTTCTCTCAAATTGATTTAACTCTTCTTGCATAGCCATAATCCAATGTTCATCATTTAATGCTTCTTTAATATTCTTAGGCTCTATGCATTAAATAAATGCAACATAATTAAAAATATTTCTAAGAGAAGATCGAGTTGTTACCCCTTTGGATGGATCACTTATAATTTCACCATTCTTGACATAGTTGTACTCTCTTGGATAAGATACTTCCCTTTCTTCAATGGTTGGATTCTCGAGAGGATCATGAGTTTCCTCATCTTTCGTTTCTTCCTTTGATGATGATTCTCCAACGTCATTTCTAACGTCATTTGTATTTATAATACCTACATCATCATTAACACAAGAATCCTTCCTCGGAAGGAGATTATCATCGAAAACAATATGTATAAACTCTTCTACAACTAAAGTTCTTTTATTAAATACTCGATAAGCTTCAGAATTTAAGGAATAACCCAGAAAAATTCCTTCATCACTTTTAGCATAAAATTTGCCAAGGTTTTCTTTACCGTTGTTTAAACAAAACATTTACATCCAAAAGGATGAAATAGCTAATTTAGGCTTTTTATTTTGAAAATTTCATATGGAGTTTTCTTTAAAATGGCCTAATTATTACTCGATTTACAATATAACAAGCGGTATTTGTGGCTTCCGCCCAAAAATATTTTGGCAAATTATTTTCACAAAGCATGGTTCTAGTCATTTCTTCTAAAGTTCGATTTTTTCTTTCAACAACTCTATTTTGTTGAGGGGTTCTAGGTGCTGAAAAATTATGGTTAATACCATTAGAATTACAAAACTCATTAAATCCAAGATTTTCAAATTCAGTGCCATGATCACTTCTAAACTAGTGATAGAGTAACCTTTTTTTTTTGTATTACTTTTGAAAATGTGATGAAATTTTCTATTGCTCATCTTTAGTACTTAGAATAGAACCCAAGTATATCTAGAATAGTCATCTACCAAGACAAATGCATATTGTTTTCCACCCAAGCTAGTAGTCCTAGTTGGCCCAAAAAGATCTATATGGATCAATTGTAATACTCTACTAGTTGACACATCATTAATGGATTTAAAAGAAACTCGCTTTTGTTTTCCTTTAGCACAAGCATCACGGATTTTATCATTATCAAATTTTAGTTTAGGCAGCCCTCAAACCAATTCTCCTTGAACTAACCGTTGCAAAACACTCATGCTAGCATGTCCTAGTCTCCTATGGCATAACCAACTATCATGCTCATCCTTAGAAACTAGGCACAAATTAGTCATATTAATAGAATCTAAATGCACCATGTATATGTTTCCTATTCTATGACCAACAGCATAACCCGATTAGATGCAATGTCAATGACTTTACAACCATTAATTCAAACATGACATTGAATCCCTTATCGCATAATTGACTAATACTCAATAGATTATGCTTTAATCCATTCACATATAACACATTTTAATTGTATGGAAGAGGTATTACCTATAGTACCAATACCTTCAATGTGACCTTTTGAATTATCACCAAAAGTCACTTCTCCTCCATTTTGGCGTTAAGCTCTATGAACCCGGCTTTTGTCTCTGGTCATGTGTCTCAAGCATCCACTATCAAGGTACCATGATTTGGATTTGTTTCCCGTGCCTTGTAGCAATGCTCCTTTTCCTACAAACATAGATTAATTTCTAATTTTTGGTACCCAAATTCTTTTGGGTCCATATTCATTAGTTTCTAAAACCCTTGTCCCCTTTGGTATCCATTTATGAAGGACATCTTTATCTTTAGTAGTCATGAATTCTTTAGGAACCCATATACTCCTAACAATTTTACCATTCAAGGTTCGTTGAGGACTTCTATGATTGTAGCTTCTAAAACTTTTCTTAACAAAGTTGGATTTTGAATTCTCACATTTTTCAAAACTTTTTGTTCCAACCTTATTAAAAGAAGTTTTAAGATCATCAATCTTCTTTTGATGATCATCATGAACTTTTGAAAGTAAGTTATGCAAATCAACAATTTTCTTTTCAAAATTATTAATTTTGATTTGCAATTCTTTGATCTTACTTTCAAGCTCATTGTTGGTCTTGGATATAAGACTATTTTCGTTTTTCAATTTTGAAATATCATTTTTGTATTTTGAAAATAGAGTCTTATAATCTGAAGCCAACCTATTATAATCCTCTAATAACTCATCATAAGATAATTCATCCAAATCGAATGAGTTAGAGGTTACCTTAGAATCTTCTCCGATAGCCATCAAGCACAAGTTTGCAACTTCTTGTTCCTCTTCATCGGAACCTTCTTCATCGCTCCATGTAGCTACATGAGCCTTGTGCTTCTTTTTGGATTGACCCTTTTTCTTCAATTGTGGGCAATCATATTTGACATGCCCCGACTTTTTGCATTCATAGCAAATGATCAGGTCTTTCTCCTTCAATTCAGTTTTGAAGCCTTCATGACGTTTGAATTTTCTTCCTCGGTTGGGCATCATCAACTTTCTGAATCGTTTGGCAAATAATGCCATTTCCTCGTCGTCATCATCATCGTCATTCGAATCACTCTAATCTTTTGTGGATTTAAGAGCAACTCCAATATTTTTCTTCTTCTCATTCTCCTTTGGTGTCTTGTCAATCTTATCGAGGTCCACTTCATCTTCAAGAATCATTTCATGAGTGAGAAGGGAACCAAATAGTTCTTCAAGAGTTAAGGACGTTAGGTCCTTAGACTCGATGATTGTCGTCTTCTTTGATTGCCACGATTTTGGAAGGGAGTAGACTAACTTCCTCACAAGCTTTTCATTTGAAATGATCTCTCCATATGATTTGAGACCAATGACAATCGTTGAAAATCTATCTGTCATAGCTTTGATATCTTCATTTGGTTTCATCCTGAAATTTTCATAGCTATGCGTTAGAATACTAATTTTAGATTTATTTACCTCATCGGTACCTTAATGAGTGACTTGAAGTTTGTCCCATATTTTTTTGGCGGTTGTACAAGATGAAACTCTTCCGTATTCATCTGGTCCAAGAGCACAAAATATGATATGGATGGCTTTGGAGTTAAGCTGGAACATTCTTGTCTCTCCTTCACTCCACAATCTTGAATGAGTGAGAGGCTTGATGTATCATTCTTCTACGGCATTCCATGCTCCCATGTCACTTGCTTGAATGAATTACATCATCATATTTTTCCAATAGGCATAGTTAGTCCCATTGAAGAAAAGAGGCTTGTTGACGGGCATCGAATCGAGACCAGAGTCGAAGTTTGAAGTAGAGGTCATTGATGACTTTGATTATCGATATAACTCTTCCCGAATCGACTCAAGAGGTGATAAAACCTTCAAATGAGTTAAGCTCTGATACCAATTGTTGAGTTAATCGATTGACGGAATCGGCCAAGAGGGGCGTGAATTGGCAATAAAAATTTTTGTGGAAGCTTTTGCAGAAAATTGAAAGTAATTGCACAACAATTTACAGTGGTTCGACTTTCTCAACCAAAGTCTACGTTCACTACCTTAGCTATCTACACTAAGGATTTTCCAACAAATTCACTAATTTGTTCTTTCTTTTGAGGCCAAAGAGATAACCTTACAACTCCCTCAAGAATATACCCCAATTCTTCACAAGAAAAATATGTTTGCACAATTCTATAACAAAGAAAGAACACTCAAGAATAAATATAATTGAGCACAAAAAGTGTTCTTGAAAGCAAAATGAATATTGAATAAAAAATAGGCTTAAAAATGCTAAAACTTGAGGTTTGATGCTTTCTCTTTGATTCTCTCTTTATTCTAGTTGCTTGATGTTTCTTGTTGTTGATCAATGGCTTGTAAGTTTGTTTAAATACACCTTGAATCACTTCTGAATGTTGGGGATCATTAATGAAGTTATTGGAGCCGTTTAAGTTTGAAAACAATTAATACAACAACTTGGAGCGTGGGGGGAATCGGTACCCCTCATGGGGAATCGGTTCCCTAAGTGTAAAATTCAAATATTTCGACCATTGAACAGTGGGGGAATCGATACCCCTGGGGGGAATCGGTTCCCTCCGAGCATACTGGAATTTCTCGGAGCCAAACCATTCATGGGGGAATCGGTACCCCCTTGGGGGGGGGAATCGGTTCCCTCTGGACAAATTGTAATTTTTGGCTTTGAAACGGTTTGAAATACTTTGTAAAATTGTTTTGAAATTATTTTAATATTAAAACTTAATTTTACACTTTAGTAAGGATTTAAAATGAACTTTGAAATACTTTGAGTAATATTTTGATATTCGATTTAATATATCGAATATGCTTAGAAAAATCATTTTCAAAATTAAAATTCTTTTAATTTAATTTGTTATATCGAAACATCAAAATGTTTTCAACAGATTATTTTCAAATGAACAATAATATTCATATTTGTCCAATAAGGAAATATAGAAACCAAATTCCGCCTAAAAGATTGTACAACGAAAGTGTCTTTTAAATCCAAATAAAAACCAGTCCCTAATAGCAACTTAAAATGTCCAATTGCTTCTACCTCTATTGATTTTCCATCGCCCACAAAGATATGTCTTTCACTATCATTTGGCTTCCGATAGTTCAAACAACCCTGCATAGAAACACTTATGTGAGTAGTAGCACCATAATATATCCACCAAGTTTTTCTAGGTACTGAAGTTAAATTAACCTTAAAACAGACAAAGTAATAATCATACCTTTCTTTGCACGCCAAGCATGATATTTGGTACAATCTTTCTTTACGTGTCCATACTTATTACAAAAGAAATAGCTTTCTTTATCTTGTTTATGTTTCTTTAACATCTTCATTCTGATGTTTCCTTTTCTTGCCCTTATCTTTAGAGGCACAAGCCAAATGAGCACTTTCAATTTTATCTTGCTTCAACCTTTCTTGCTCTTGCACACAATGAGATATGAGCTCATTTAGAGTCCATTTCGGCTTTTGGCAGTTATAACTGATTTTAAATTGGTTAAACTGCGCAGGAAGCGATACTAAAACCATAAAAATGAGTAAATATTCAAAAAGCTTGATCTTAAGTGCCTTTGGAACATTCTCATAATGTACTCTCTCACATTTCCTTAACCCTTATACTTCATAGACATCAAAGAAAGTAAAAAGTGATATCATCTCAACTTTATCGTTTTTAGCAAAAAAAATCTCAATTTCGTCAAGGAAATCCTTAGTCTTAGTAATCTCTTCAGATTCTATGCCCTAAAATCTTCTGAAATGATGTGTTTCATGACCATCAGACACATACGATATGAACGGCCTCACCTTTCAAAATCCCCTTTCGCATTAGGATTGCTTTCTGTAGTGAGAGGTGCGAGTTGTTCTTCCCTTAATGCAAGGTCTATGTCCATACAACCAAGCACTATAATTAAGTGCCTTTTCCATTCCTTGAAATTTGTCTTATTAGGCATGAGAATTGAATTTATATTAGCAGAAACTGTGGCAGCAGAAGAACTAGCTGAATAAAAATAAACAACAAGCTCACATAAGCAAACAATAAATCCAAAATAATGGCTAATTTTCATCTTAATATACCAAACACTACATTAATATCAAGTCTTTGGACACTGATATTATCAATATATGGTACTCTTGTTGTAGTAATTAAATATTGACAATAAACTATGTCGAACAAAAAACTAATCTTTGAATTAATGTAACGCTCACATAAAAAAATGCTTATAATTGTCACAAATTTATTACCACAGGTGTCGCTTGAAATACGATCAAATATTAACTTTCCTTTGGGTCCATCAATAAATGCATGAATTACAAGAATACAAATTCATCTTGATATTTTAAATAAATTAATCTACACAAAAGACGTCACTTTGGCAACATTTTATTTCGACGAATCCACAAAAATATAAGACATAGCCAAAATATGAATTTATTTATTCCTCAATAATTTCCTTAATAACCAAAAATCAAAATTAAAATTTTGATCGAACCGAATTTTGTTTTTAATAAAAAAACATACATAATTATAAGAAATCTTAACAATTGCTCAACTTTCAATATTATCAAAACTAATTTTAATCGTGCGATAACTTAAATTAATATCAAAATTTCTTCTTGATTACAATAGCAAAGTTAACGCACAATATCAACATGTTGTTCACGATTACCAAAGAAGGGGAAAAAATGCTTAACGCCTGTAAGTTTTAAACTTGCAATTTGAATTCCTTAATAACAATGGGTTTATCGTAATTAATTTAACATGCCGACGATATAGAACTAAAGATAGGGTTATCGAATGATTAACCAAACAAACCACAAATATGATATACTTTAATTCAATTGATTCTTAATGATTCAACATGATGAGGTGATGATACCACTTATTAGAATCAAAACATAATAATTATGAAAACAAACCAAGATCTAATCATGTCAAATCATTAAGAATAAAAATATTAGATTTACGGAAACATACATGAATCAATTGTTGGAGATTATCTAGAAGGTTGAGATCTTGAAGATTATTTTGGTTGTCTTCTTCCAAGAATATAGAATTCTTTTAAGTATAAACTCTTTGACGGGACAAGAGAAAATATGAGATGATCTGTTTCTTAGGGCCCATAGTCCCTTTATATAATTGTTTTAAGAATCAGTTATTGTCTGTACTTATAACTTTGTCCCTCATTAAAATATAAATACAACTTTAATAGTATCTACACTTTTATTTCCATGATACTTCTAATATCTTATGACTTTATAACACAATTGACCACTTAATTTAGCATATTTTATAATAACAATATACATTATAAATAAGTTACCATAATCATAGATTTTAATCCAACATAATAATATTATAAGATAAATAAAAGTTGTTTTAATCTATAAGCTAATTAAGACATTTGACCTAGTGGTTGGTGTGCTCTTTTCTCTATCAGGTAATGCAGGTTCATTCCCCCTTTGGCACAATTCTTCTTCACTTTATTTTTATCTTCAATCAAATGGTGACACATATAACTTCTTAATTGGAGCTTTTATTAGAATTAAATTGATACAATATATAAATAATGAAGATTAAATGTAAAATTATGTTAATTTTGTTAACTGTCGCGTCAACAAATGTTGGCTTGATTGACAAAATGTTAAGTGATCTTATTGACAAAATTAAAAGATCAATGGTCAAAATGAAATCCCCTAATAGTTAAGTGGTCATTAGCCTAGTGTATCATGTGTTTTATAATATTATTATTTTTAAAATTTTTAAATATTTGGGTAAACTACATATTTAGTCATCCAACTATCACTTCGGTTTTATTTTAGTCACCCAACTATTTTTTTCAAAATCATACATAAAGTTATGTTTTGATTCGTTTTGGTCACCCACCGTTTAAAAATTAACGATTATGTTAATATGTCACTATAAAATAATGTCTTGTCATCATCGGAAAAAATAAATAAAAAACTTATCAAGTCAATAGTTATGTTTATTTTTTAATGTCGGATAACCAAAATTGAACCAAAGTGATAGTTAGATGAATTATCCTAAATATTTTTATATATTTTCTTATAATTTCAAACTTTTTATCCTTTACACTTAGTTAAGTTCTTAAAATTAAATAAGGCAATTTGTTAAATCCTTAATATTAAACATAATAATCAATTAAATATTATACGTTGATGATATATATCACCCCAGTGGCGGATTATTCTAATTGATTATTTAAGAATAATGACTTAATTGAATGCAAAACATTAATCAGGCTGAATTGATTTTTTTTTCTCAGTCATATTGATCCCGGCTCAACCATTGGTTGTCAACTTTTATAAGTAAATTCATCATTGAATTGCATATTTAAATCTCCCTCTCCAATCGTTTTGTAGTTTTGGGCAACTCTTCTCCTACTCCATGGCTTCTGATCTATCTTCCATTTTTGTTATCACCTTCTTCGCTATCTCATTTGTGAATCATACACCAATTCACCTGGTGCTTGCAAAAAAGCCTTGTCAATTTCCAGCAATATTCAACTTCGGCGACTCAAACTCCGATACCGGCGGCTTGTCAGCCGCATTCGGCCAAGCTCCTCCTCCTAATGGACTCTCTTACTTTGGCGGCCCCGCTGGCCGCTATTGCGATGGTCGCCTCGTGATCGACTTCATAGGTACTCTTCTACATCTCAGCTAATTAACTTCTGATAAATGTCAAATTCAATCAGGAAGTGCATGAATATGTGATTATATTTGCTTATTATGATTAACCTCGATATCACCGACGCTTTGTGAGAGTTAACTAGTAAGTAAGCATTATGGCATGAGAAAAAAACAGACCATCTAAAACAAGAATTCATGTCCTTGTCGGAGATGTCCCTGGTCCCGTTTTCCATAAAAAGGGCTAAAAAGTGCAGCACGCGCAAATTGGAACTTAGCAAATACAAGCCAAAAAAGAAAGTGGATTTGTGACTATGGGTCTTTCTTGTCTCTTGTTTCGGGTTCAATTATTGTAACGGGTAATGTAGAAGCTGGTCATTTTTCTTTGATTACGATTGATAACAGATAAAGGGGTTTTAAAATTTTAATTAATTTTCAGCCGAGAGCCTTGGGTTACCCTATCTATGTGCATTTCTCGACTCCGTGGGGACCAACTTTAGCCATGGAGCTAACTTCGCCACCGCGGCATCCACCGTTAGACCTCAAAACATAACCTTGAATCAAGGCGGTTTCAGCCCCATCTCCTTAAACGTTCAATTTTACGAGTTCAATGATTTTCACAAAAGGTCACAAGTTGTACGTAAAAGAGGTGGAGTTTTTGAAACCTTAATGCCAAAGGAAGAACACTTCTCGAATGCCTTGTACACCTTCGACATCGGCCAAAATGATCTCACTGCCGGCTACTTCTCAAACATGTCAACGGACGAAGTTAAAGCCTACGTTCCCGATGTGCTTAATCAGTTCCAGACTATAATTCAGGCTAGTAAACCAACCTCTAATCATTAATCATTGGACCAAATGTTCGAATACAATTAAGCATTGATTATTACTTCTTAACTTGCAACTGTGCAGTACATATATAGCCAAGGAGGGAGATACTTTTGGATACACAACACAGGTCCTGTTGGGTGTCTGCCATATATAATGGACCGAATCCCAGTCTTAGCAAGCCAAATCGATGGACACGGATGCGCGTCTCCATTCAACGACGTCGCCCAGTTCTTCAACCAGGGATTGAAAAAGACTGTGGAACAGTTGCGCAAAGATTTGGCCGATGCATCAATCACCTATGTCGATGTTTACTCGTTGAAATACTCACTGATTAGCCAAGGAAGAAAGCATGGTGAGTCCCCCTTTATGAAACAAATGAAAACTTGATGGAAATGAAATATTGACAGTAGGGTTTGTAGGGTTCAAACAAGCTCTTAGAGCATGCTGCGGGCATGGTGGGAAGTACAACTACAACAAGAACTTGGGGTGTGGAGCAAAGGTTAATAAACATGGGAAGGAAGTGTTGGTGGGAGCTGCTTGCAAAGATCCTTGGACTTACGTTAACTGGGATGGGATTCACTTCACCGAAGCAGCTAATAAGTACATATTTGAAGGTATTGTTGATGGTTCATTTTCAGACCCTCCAACGCCATTGAACATGGCTTGTTACAGGAATTAACTTCTTTTTTCGTTTTTTATGGGTTCAGCAAGTTTCAAAGTCATGCTTAAGTTGAAATTTCTTTCTTTATGATTATGGCTTATAAAATTTTAAAGTTGGTATTGTTATATATTTTTTTAGCGCTATATATTAGATGTTTATTTATATCTTTTTATTTTTATTAAGCTCCCATAAGTTTTTTTTTTCATTTTCTTTCACGTCATTAAAAATTCAAAAAATATTAAAAAATGCAAAAGTTGATTTCAATAAAGAAAAGATAACTATTTTTTATGATGTAGACCATAAGAACAAAGTAGCGTATGTCACCTTAAAAGCGTAGTTATTATTTCGTTACATTTGAGTTAATATGACAAAAGAGATTTTGATGGTCAAAAACGACACAATAAAAATTTAAGGCCTAAAATGACTAAAACGATAAAGTGGGGAAAAGTCGTGTAACCTAAAACATTAAGGGTAAATTCAATAAAAAGTCACTTTGTTATTAGTAAGTTCACAGTATGATCAGTAAGTTCACAGTATGATCAGTATACTTAAAAAGTCACTATCAAACCATTCAATTAATCAATTGTAACAATCATGTCACTACGTTGTTAAATCTCAAACATACGTTAAAAGATATTGTTAAAAAATAATTTAATTAAAATTTTAGGTAAATTATACTTCAAGTCACTTAATTATTAGATCGGTTATAAATAGATCATATTTTTTAAAAAACTATAATTTAGTCACTCAATTAAAATATTATTACAAACAAGTCACTATATCGTTAAAATTGAAATAAAAGTCTAATGTGACTTGGTATAATAACAATTTTAGTCTCTAAAACTTATATATCCTAACAATTTAGTCACAATTCAATAAATTTAACCCTTTTATATTCAAAATTTTATCAATTTAGTCATTTTTTATGATACTATCAAATCAAGTGTGTCCATGAGATCAATTAGTAGTTGCATTAAATGCTTTCTACCACAAAGCAACAAGAAGTTACTGATAAAAGCCTTCTATCAACGAATACTAGTCAATTACTCAATTATATGATTAAGCAAGCTCGGATTACAATCTTACAAAGTATTTAAGTAAGAGAACCTAAAACCTGAAGACAAGATTGGTCGACGACCAATTCAACATGAACTCAACGCTTCGAAACAAATAACAAAACATGGAAAGGGATATCCTCTAAGTGTACAATGAAAAACAGGCTCATAAAAAATATTTTATTAATTCCCCTACATGATGTATCACATGTAATAATAAACACAGTGTTCATATTGGTAAAATACACTACCATATAAAATATTGAGAGCAAGTCTCAGTAAGCAAGGTAATGTAGCATTTTTTTAGAGAAGAACAAGCAATTTGAGAAAAGAACAAAAACTAAATTGATAAAATGAATAAATAGGAAAAGTTAAATTTATTGATTTTTTTCTAACTAGGACCAAACTGATAAAATGTATACATTTTTATGACTAAAATTAAGTCTCAGTAAGCAAGGTAATGTAGCATTTTTTTAGAGAAGAACAAGCAATTTGAGAAAAGAACAAAAACTAAATTGATAAAATGAATAAATAGGAAAAGTTAAATTTATTGATTTTTTTCTAACTAGGACCAAACTGATAAAATTTTTTAACTGAACTAATAATTGAGTAACCTAAAATTTAGTTTAACCTATTTTTTAGTTATACGTAATGGTGGTCGGAGTCATTCGTGTTTCTCAAAGATCGAGACCCCATTCAATGATTTGAACAGTGAAAAATCACAAGATAAAGGCTATCATACAGTGGATGATATAGATCAAGCTCAAGAAGTTTAAAAATTTTATGACAGTTCCACAACTTTTGAGAGAGATTTTTAGGAGTCTAATTCGATGAATCAAATGAGGATATTATTAACTTTTTAAACTTAAAGACCCAATTATAACTTATTAATCATAGTGACTTGTGGTGTAATTTACCCATAAAATTATGCATGCAACATGGATTTCCATGAATAAAAGATATTACAAGTTGAAATGCCGTTGAGGATTGAACGATATTATAATAAATTAATTAAGTGATTGTTGTGACTTTTTAAAATATAGTGATCCAATTATAAATTTACTAATAATTGAGTAACATGTATAATTTACCCCAAAAAAACCCTTAGCCATGCCTTACTTTCAGGATCTGGTTAAACATTTACTTATAAAATTTGTTAAATTTTATACACTTTCTAGCTCGCGTTCACTCTCACATTCATGGAACCTCCCAGTTTCCAACGTGTCATCATTTTCCTTATACTTTCAATGACACTGCTGCCCAGTCCAAGCAGTTCCTCAGGGCCTTGCAGCTTTCCTGCCATCTTCAACTTCGGTGACTCAAATTCCGACACCGGAGGACTCTCAGCCGCATTCGGACAAGCCCCTTCCCCCAACGGAGAGTTCTATTTCCATACGCCGGCGGGTCGGTATTGCGATGGCCGCCTCATAATTGATTTCATAGGTATGCCTTTATTAACATTATAATTCCGAGTTTTTCTTCCGTTCATCATCCATTTTATTTTTACTTGACATGGCTTTGTTTGCTTCCAACTAGTACTATTTGCTTCGTACTAATGATTCCCCGCAAATCTTTGATATTTCTACTCATCCAAAATCATGCGATTCAGTTCTTACTTCAGGAATCAGGATTAATGGCTTGAAAGCCAATATTTAGTTCTTATATTAAAGAAGGTTTATTGAATTTTGAATTCAATGTTAATTAAAAAAAATTATCAATTGTTTGTTTACTTAAATATTATTTTAACATCGACAATTTTAATCGCATATTAATTTGACAATCTGAATGTTATCTGATAATTTAATTAGCAATAATATTTAGGGTAAATTATATAAATAGCCCCTTTTGATTAGGGTCTGTCTGACTTTGGTCACTAATTTAAAAATTAAAGGTAAATGGTCTCTAATGTTATCGGCCTATCTGATTTAAGTTCCACTGCCGTTAAAAATTAGCTGACCCTTATTCTCATATGCAATGGGGTAAGGGGAGATAGGATAGTAGGCTGCCCCCAACGCCAGGTTGAGAGCAGTTTCCGCTAACCCTTAACAAATATGTGACATAGTTGAGGGACTAAAATCGAAAGGGAGTTAATGTCTAAGGGACTAAAATCGAACGGAACGATAATGTTAAGGATTATGTACCCTTAATTTTTAAATTGGTGACCAAAGTTGGTAAGATTGAAAACAAATTGGACTATTAGCATAGTTTACCCTAATATTTAAATTTTGAAAGTTTACCGTTTGCATAGATATGTGGAGTGATGAATAAGATATTCGAGTCAAACATGTGATTCATATACTTAAATATTGAGAAATAATGTCGGCAGGATATGTGTGCGTTATCAATAGATTAAAGAAGTTATAAACAGATATTACCTTCTAATCACTCAGACTATTCAAAAAATTATATGGATTTCTTTAATTTCAATTCTCTATCCCAATAAATTAAAATAATCACCCAGCGTTATTATGTGTAATAATAATTTAAATATATTTAATTATTTTTCAACGTTATTTATAATATCAATTTAATAAACTCTTTTAGTAAAATGATTTTGAAAATGATAACTTAAGCTTATATTTAACCAATGATAAATTTTGATCATGTAAGCGACCGGGTAAATAATATTTAAACAATGATAAAATTTACTGTTAAAAGAAAAAAAAAAGATAAAATTTAGTCGCTCACTAGTTATATTGCAGGTTTTTTTAAAAGAAAATTAAACAAAGATAGAAATTTAATACAAAATCATCGAAATAATGTGAAATTTAAAATTTAAGAAAACAAATCTATTTTTTGCAAACCATTTCCAAAATCATATATTTTGCATCAAATTTTTATCTTTGTTTTACTTTTTTTCTTCAGAGAACCTCCATTAAAATAAAAAGAATAAATTCCTACATTTAAAGGGATTGATATATTTTCTTTGCTTTGTTTTAGCTTTCTATTCTTAGGGATCAATCTTTTTTAGTTTGCTCCAATTTTCATCGACTCCAAACTCATTTTTTGTGAAACAACTATTGAAAAAAATTCAAAAACTGAAATATTCTTTTAGGAAACAGAACCCAAATCCCAAACAAATAGCACTATTTCTTAGTCTAGATAAGTGCATAGCAACAACTCCCTTGATGTATACTTGCAGACTAACACCAGATTCTCAGTGTGATTATACAATCTGTTTATTGTCTACTTCCAAAGTTGAAAATCAAATCATCATATAATTTGATATTGCTGATTACAGGTATTAGAATGGCATGGAGTCTACTCCAATTAGTTTATTATCCATTATTTTTAAGAAGTGGTTTATCTTTTGTTAAGTCATGTTTTCATGTTTTTTTATCATGACTAAGTGGTTTGTTAAGCCATGGTTTCATGTCCACTAGGTTAATGAAAGTTAAAGTCATGTTTGTGTTCTTGATCATGGCTAAGTAAGCTAACATATGATCTCATGTTTCTGATGTTTTTTCATGTATATAAATGTAGGATTTATTCCTATGATAGAATCCTTTACAGTCGTTCTTATGATTCTTCTTGTTGTTCTATACTATTTGCTTTCTTCAATTCTGTTTCAAATTGCTGCACTGCTTTTGTTATGGAACAGTCTATTTTTACTTTTCTTGTAATGTTGATGATGGTGGAACTCGATTCTTTTTTTTTTTTCCGTGTGTGTGGGTGCTTAATTAAGCATGAAATTAATTAGTATTTTTAAGATTGCAATGTTACTCAACGTGTAGTTTTGATTGTTTTACTTTATCTCTATATTAATATTTGAGCTGTTCTTCAATATTAATGTTTCTAATTGCTTGGCCAACAATTAGATGGATTTGGTAACCTTAATGAGTTTGAAAAGGGGCATTTTGTGTTTAGAATTGTATTGAATAACAAATGTTTCAAATTCATTTGTTATGACAGATGAGTGGCATCTAAGATAGGAATATACTTCCATGTCATAGGTTTAAGCTTAATAAATCTTTCTTAAGCTTAATTCTTATAGGGAAAAATAATAAATTAGTTAAGAGATATGTTTTTATAAGCATCAGAATATAAAGTAGAACTCTAGGTTAACAACGCATTGTCATTAGTCAAGTGAACCAATTCAAAAAAGAAATGCCGAGGGAAATTGTGATTCTAGGATTTAGTTCTCAAGAAAAAAACTCAAAATTTGCAATACTGAAGTTCAAATAGCTGACATTTTCACCAAGCCATTTTAATGTTAGCAAGTTTGAGTTTCTAAGAAAGAAACTTGGAATCTACTGCTCCTAATGCTAGCAGGAGTAGCGCTTTCGTGCATTAGGATTGCATGGATTCTACTTCTCTATTTAGGTTGTTCAACATGTGTTAGTACCTTATTTTTAGGAAGTTGGTTATCATTTTTCAAGTTATATTTTCATGTTTTTAGACTTGGCTAAGTTAGCAGTTTGTTAATTCATGTTTTTCAAGTCATCTTCTTATGTTATTGATCATAGCTAATTTTTATTTTTATTTTTTTTGCCAGAATCATGGCTAAATTAGTGGTCCATGATCTTATATTTTTATGTTTTTTTTATATATAAATGTAGGATTTATTTTTTTGATTCTTCTTCTGATTTATGTTCTATACCATTTGCTTTATTCAACTGTGTTTCATATTGCTGCGTTACTTCTCTTAACAAACAGATTTTGTACAACAGATATGAAAAGTTGCAGCATATCCTAATGATTATACTACTTTATCTGGTTTCTTATAGCTGAAAGCTTTGGATTACCTTATCTTAGTGCTTATTTGGACTCTGTGGGTTCAAACTTCAGCCATGGTGTCAACTTTGCAACTGCCGGATCAACCATCCGGCAACAAAATACAACTATTTTTCAAGGTGGAGCTAGTCCTATTTCATTAGATGTACAGTTAGTTCAATTCTCAGACTTCCATAGAAGATCTCAGATATTCAATAAGCAAGGTACTGAAAGTCCTACTTTATGCGCATTACCCTAATCTTCATTTATATAAAATACAATTACTTGAATAACCCTGGATTTGACTTATAATGTACCAGGGATCTTTGATAAATTGTTGCCAAAGGAGGATTATTTCTCAAAGGCATTGTACACCTTTGACATTGGCCAAAACGATCTCACATCTGGCTACAAGCTTAACCTGACCATGGAACAAGTCAAGGCATATGTTCCGGATGTGCTCCGCCAATTTTCTGGCGCTGTTAAGGTGGGATAAGAAGCATTTTCTGTCTTGATATAGCGATAAATAGGTTAAATTCATGTACTGAAATATAATGACATGATTATAATCCAATGTTTTGTGCAGCGAGTATACGACATTGGAGGAAGAATATTTTGGATACACAACACAGCGCCGACAGGCTGCCTACCGTATGTTCTGGACAGATTTCTCAACAATGCAGCTCAACTAGACAGATATGGCTGTGGTAGTCCGTTCAATGATGTGGCTCAGTATTTCAACAAGGCATTGAAAGATGCTGTGATTGAATTAAGGAAACAACTTCCCTTAGCTACTATCACATACGTCGATGTCTACTCGGTGAAGTATAGGCTCATCACCCAGGCCAGGAAACTTGGTAACTAATCCTAGATCTTGATGAAAATAATGGTTAATGTTTCCATCACAAGTTTTGTTGATAAAGCTACCCTGGCGGATAATTAACTTGTTGAAGTCGGTATTTTCGGATTTGCAGGATTCAAGCTCCCTCTGAGAGCTTGCTGTGGTCACGGTGGGAAGTATAATTTCAACAATTCTTTAAGGTGTGGGGGAAAGATCACCGTGAACGGCAAGGAGATTTTGATTGCAAATTCATGCCGAAATCCTTCCGTTCGGGTTAACTGGGACGGCATTCATTTCACAGAAGCAGGTAACAAGTGGATATTCGAACAAATCGCCAACGGCTCGTTTTCGAACCAACCAATTCCATTGAGAATGGCTTGCCAAAGGATGGAACAATGACACTGTCAAAAATTGTGAAATAAATGTCTAATAGTTCATAGGGAGGATAGTTCTGGCCTTAAACCCTTAATAATATCAGTGGTAGGAGGATATTTACCCTTCGAATCCACAAAATTAACTGGAAATGGACAACTGAAAATTACTCTTGTTTTCTTAATGTAGGGAATTTATGATTTTTGTACCGAAAAATGTTTGGTTTATGTGATTAATTTATTCTTGTTTTTGTTAAATATTTTAATTAAAAATTAGTTATCATTCGTATTTTAATCATAATGAACATCAATGATGGAAAAACCGAAATCATAAAATAATAATTATAATCTCACAAGCTGGTTTAATTCCTTAATTCCTATGTTGAGAGGCAAAATGGGATCCCTAACCAGCTGGCGTAATTCCTTGCGTGTGTGTTCTTCCTTTTGCCTTTGATTTATAACTTTGGGGTACCCTACAATTACTTGGAGCTGACACGTTTGAAATACTGCTGCATATTAAGTAAACATTACAGTGAGTGCAGTGAAGAGTGAAATTTTTAATTGTATATATTACAAGTGTAGAATGTATTGATAATGTTTATAATATTTTTAAAATAAATTTTAAAATGGTATTAGTAAAAAGTATAATTAAAAAATAAATTGTAAAAAAAAATGAAAAATACCCTAGAAAATTGATTGCTGAATGCAGGTTAAGTGGAAAACAAGATAAATGGATAGTAATGGAGCATCTTTGGAGCAAGTGAAGTAATTGAGAGCAGCTTTTCCTGGAGGACCACTCACTCACTGGACATCTTTCTCCGATGTGACCGTGCCTTTCCTTTCATCCTCAAATGAACCTTTTTCCTAAAGGCAGACAACCTTTTCTTTTACACAGTTCGTAGTTAGTTTGTCTGATTTATGATTTGTCAGTAGTTTTTTAATAGATTTTTTTATGGCTCGTTTTTTAATATAATCATATTTATTTATATTTATCTTTGTTTGAGTTTTTTTAGTTATATTTTAATCTTTCCTTGTATGATCCTTATGTGATCTTTACTTGCTAATTTTATTTCAATGATTATAAGAAATTGACTTAATTATATGTTTAATTTACGATTATGATTATAAATCTTGATTGTAATTTAAGATATTTATTATTTTAAATAAAATTAGTGATTTTTTTAAAAAGAAACCCTAACTTTTAAGCATTTGTTTCACTAGTGATGGTAAAGAGTTGAGTCGGGTCGAATTTTTGACCCGTTTAAATTTGATATTAAAATTGAAATCTTTTATTCATATCCAACTTAATTCAAGTTTAGGAGAGTCTTACCTGGTTCTAAACATGACTCGATATTTTATGTTAAAATTTGCATTTGACCCAATCGACTTTAATATATATATATATATATTAAAAAATCATTCTTATTAGGTAATAGAAGAATTTAATTGAAAAAATAAAAAAAATATTATTAGAATTGTCTTTAAATATATAAAAGATAATTATAATATTATGTCGGTTGGGTTAGGTTCGGAGGATTTTTTCACCATAAATCCGAACTTGACCTATCACATCCTAAAAAATTTGACCTAATCCTAAATTTTCAAAATAAAAAATCAATCCGACCTAATTAAATCGAGTCAAAACCCATCGAATCCGAATAAAATGATAACCCCTATGCTCCACTGAAGATATTAATTTTTTTATCCATATTATTATTATTAATATTATTATTATTATTATTATTATTACTATTATTATTATTATTATTATTATAATTATTATTATTATTATTATTAAAATACATAATATAATTACAGACCAATTACAACTGGACCGGCCCAGTTACAAACCAACCAGAACCGGTCCAGATCCAACCAGAAACCCTAAATATTTGGGTTTCCAGTTAGGGTTTCCTAACCCTAATTTAACCAGCCGCCTCAGCTCACAGCCGTTGGATCTGGCAAGATCCAACGATCCAGATTGCCCCAGATGGAAACCCTAGGGTCTGATACCCTAGGGACACGTGGCCGCCGTTGCTATCTCGCCGCCTCCGCCGTTGCCACGTCTCAACCGAAGACTCCAGAAGATAGAATACCAGCCGTCCACGCTATGGCTACTCGGTTAGTCACCACTGGTAGTCCGGTGACTCACCGAGACCCCATCTTCGGACCGGTCCGACGGCCACACCGGTGGTGGCTATACCCAACCTGAAAAAAAAAAGGGAGACACAGAGACACAGAGACAGAAAAAAAAGAAAGAGAAAGAAACAACAGAAACAGAGAGATACAAAACTACCAACGATCCCAGTCTACAACAACACAGAAGGAAAAAGAGAGAAGAGAAGCTTACCAAAGAAGCCTTGACCATCGCCGGAAGCACTAAACATCGTCGGAGAACCGAAAATACCGAAGGTGTTTTCATAGATTTACTCCGATTAGGAGTCTTTTTGGGGAAACAAAGGTCGGATTCGGTCTTAGGGTGTTTAGATCTACGTTTTAGGTGAATTTGGGGAATTTCCGACCACCGGAGGCAGTGGTCGGCGGCAGAATTCACGGCGGCAGACGGTTGCCGGATTCCCTCCGGTGAGGGAATCTAGAGAGAGGCCAGAGAGAATTCTGGCTCTCTCTCTGCTGGAGAGAGAAAAAAAAAAGGAAATGAAATGGCTGGCTTCGGGCCAGCCGGTTTGGACCATATATAGTCCTTCCCGAACGACGTCGTTTCGGGAAGGACTATGCGCGTAATTATAAAATAGTTAAAACCCGTCCGCAGTCCTCCGAACTTGTAAACTTTACATTTTAGTCACTAAATTAAATTTATAATATTTTTAATTCAGTCTTCGAATTTTAATTTCTTTTATTTTAGTCCTTCATATTAAAATAATATATTTAGGATAAATTATAGATTTAATCCCTTAATTTTAATAAATAATATTTTAATCCCTAGTTTATATTTTTAATTTATTTGATTCTAATATCCGAATTTTAGATAATTTTATTTTAGTCACCAAATAAATAAAATAAGGAAATAACATATTAAATCCCTATAATTTTGATTAATTATGAATTAGATTTTTAATTTTATTTTTATTATAATTTAGTCAGTTATTTTATATGTTTTCATTTATTTTATTGTTTTTAAATATATTGTTTTAGTAGTATTTGTATTTTTATTTTATTATATTGTTAAATATTTTTATATTCATAAATATATAATAAATAGTAATTTTTAAATATTTATTTTTAATATCGAAGAAAAGGACAGTCTTAATACAACTGGATGTCCTATTCTGATATTTTAAAATTAAAAAGTAAACAATATTATTTAAATTAATATTTATCAATATCAAAGAAAAGAGCTGTCTTAAGGCACCTAGAAGTTCTTTTCGGATATTTTTAAATAAATAAATATTTTTTATATAATTTTGAAATAATAGAATTATAAATTAAATATATTTTTGAATTTTTAAAATTTTAATAATAGAGACAATTTATAATTAAAAAGTACCAATTTTGGGCGTTGTAGGGGTGCTAATCCTTCCCTAAACGTAACCGACCACGAATCCCTTTTTATTATTAAAAAGAATGAATTTTTGGTTATAAACGCAGATCAGTTTATTTTTTTAATTGGTGTTTTATTAAAACTCTTTTAAAAAAATAATTTTTAGGTATTCGACCTACCTGACCCAAAAGGCCGATGGCGACTCCCAAATTATTTTCAAAACCATTTATTCACATCACTTTTCCCGCCAAACAAATAAATTCGTGCCCGGACGAAAACCGGTTACGACAGCTTGGCGACTCCGCTGGGGACCGTCAAACTTTTAAAAATCAATTATAAATTGTCTCTATTAATTAAAAATTAAAAATTCATATATTTAATTTTTAATTCTTTCTTTTCAAAATTTTTATATACTTATTATTTTTATAGTTTTTATATATTTTCTTATTAATATTTCATTTTATTTGCAAGTATTTTATTTTATTATTTTATTTTTCTGTTAGAGGTTTGAACATTTCTCCTCACACACAACACTTGCATTGCATAACATAAAGCTCTATAATTGAGTTTGTCCCTTTTAAGTGAGAGTGAAAGCGACGTCTTCGTGAGAATTTATTCTCCGTGTCAGACCTAGCAAGTAACTTTCGGGGTTCATATACTTTATGTCTTCGTGAGAATTTATTCTCCGTGTCAGACATAGAGAAATGTATCCCCTCGAATTGAACTCGATCCACTTTAGTCTGTGATGGACTAGGATTGAGGGTTAGCAGCCTAAGGGGGCACTAACAAGGACAATTTGGGTACCTTGATTCTTAGATCTGAAACCTTACATATAAAAAACCTTAGAAACTCTTCCGATCAGAAGTCATGCCAAAATTTTTGTCCAAAATAGGTGTACACACAGGAGAAATAAATTCTGACTTTCCTGTTAATTTATTTATTGTTTAAATTACATGTTTATTTAAATTATTTAAATTCAGAAAAGCATGTTTAAATAAAGAATATTTATGTAAATGTTATTATTAAATTTCTTTATTATGTAAACTAATTTATTTTCTTTTTGTGTGTTCTTTATTTTTCTGTTTGCATTGCATCATACAGGATAAAAGACATTGATCCTTGTATTAATTGTCTCATTGGAAAGCCTTCATCTATGGATAAAAAGTGTTCAAGTCAAGTAATTCTAAACTCAGAAGTAAGACAGTGGGCTGAGGATTTACAAAGACAAGAAGGAGACAGTTTGCAGGACGATTATGTATCTGACTTGGCCAGTTATGCTTCAGTTTCACTAAAAAGAAATGATATGCAAGATTTGTGAAGCATTTGGGAAAGTTGGGATTCAAACAAAAAATTGCAGTTTTATCAGACTTACGGAGACATCCCATATTTGCTCTATGTTGAAGTTGATGATGAATTACTCAGAGCCCTAGTTCAATTCTGGAATCCAGGGTACAATTGCTTCACTTTCAATAAGGAGGACTTGGTCCCTACTATTGAAGAATATACAACTTTGTTACATCTTGAAGGTGCT